TGCTCCCTCCCCACAGCCCCACACCCTGGCAGTTCTCCTGCTATCCAGGCCCCAGGCAAACCCCAGGAATTCCATTCTAGAGATGGTTTTGAATGGACACAGCAGGGCAGAGAGGGTGGCTGCCCTGCTTCCTCTCCTGTGGGTACCATGAGACAAACCAGCAAGAGGGGAAAGGAAATTATTCTGCTGCATGGGGTCCAAACTGAAGTATTTTGTCCAGAAACCCTCAGCTGCTGAACAAGCAATTATGTGAAAGATCTTACGGGTTGATTTTTTTTCCAACTGTTTTTAGCAAATGGCAATTGGCATGCAAATAAAAACAAGGATAGAACTTCTGCTAGCTGAAACATTATGAAAAAGTTATATTATTAAAAGTAAAGCTTGAGCTCCATTATCTCATTAAATTAAATTACAGTGTTTGCTTTTCTTTAATGCAGTGTCAGAAGTAGTAGCGAATTTCTGGGAGGGTTATTTTCGATTGATTGCTGCATGTGCTGTTTGGAGACTGTGTACTCTAGGTGTGTATGCAATTTTACAGCCATGCCAACACACTCTATAATATAATTTTACGTGCAAATTACAGCTATGTAGTGTAATAAGCTATTCTTTTTTCTTTTTACAGCATCTCCAGCCATGCACCCAATGCACACAGAGGGATTTTTTGGCTTACCAGACTTCAAACCATTAGACCACCAAGGAGTTGTGAACTGAGCCCAGTGCAGGCAATGGCAGCACTTGGGCTCACTACCAAACCAGAGGGGGAATTGCACAGCCTCTCAAACACCAGACTGTGGGGCTGATCCATTCAGTGGGTCTGTGACCTGACAAGGCAGCATGATTAATTGCACACAAATTCCCTCAGAGGTTTTCCTGCTCATGCTTTCTGCAGCGAAGATTGTTAGCTTGACAGATCAGCATAGCAGCCTCTTAAGATGCCAGAAAGGGAAGAGGTTGGTTTCTGATTGAAAGTTAATGGAGGAACAGCAGCTGTTCCATGCTGAGGGGGAAAAAAACCCCAAACCAAACAGGCTTTGATTCTCAGAGAAAACCACACATGGGAATAAGCTGATTTTTCGATAACTCTGGCTATGGGATTTCTGTCAGGGATTGAAAGACCATATTTGCATGATATAATAGGCATCATAATTAGAAATTCAGCTGTGCTTTCTCTCATCTGATTATTGAAATATAAGCCATGGCATGAGTGTTTTTCTTTTTGATTAAACACTGGTTTAGGTGCCTCCTCTTCCACGTGTTTGTTCTTGATGCTTTGTCCATTTAGGCTAAAGTTTGCAGAAGCCCTGATTTGGTGGGCAGCTCCTGTATTTGCAGCGCTGAGCAAAGATGCTTGCACAGCTCCTCCCTCCTGCTCGCAGGCAATCCACACTGTCCTGCTGTCAGACCAGCCCCACTGCCAATTTTAAAGTTTTCCTTTTCCAAGTAAGCCTTAGCAAATTGCATTAGACACTTCCTCAGGAATACTGAAGCCCTACCACTTTATCTGTTAAAAGGTTTTAAACATTGACCAATGTTTCTCCTTCTGCATTTCCCAGCTGGGCTTGATGGGATGACACACACTAGATGGATGCTTTCCTGCAGTGTGTGAAATGAGCTGTGTGGCAGCCCTCTGAGGACATCCCTGCTCCTGTGGGCACCACACCACAGCCTGGCCCAGCCAGGAGGGCTCCCAGGAAGCAAACTGCAGGCAGGGACACCGCAGATGGCAGCACCAGGGCTGGGGTGGGCACAGCAGGCTGTGCCAGGCAGCAGATGTGTGGAGAGATCTGTGCTCTCACACCTCACAGATGTCTTTGTTCTGTTCTAGGACAAATCCCTCAAAACACACTTGGAATGCAAGCCTGGAAACTGAGGCCTTGCAACCTCCCCACTGTACTTCCCAACCTGCATCCCCCCTCCAGCACCTGCTGAAGAGCTGAGCTGAAAACAGCCCTTCAAATCCAGCACTCTGTGCTGGACCCCTGCCAAAGGGCTCCGTTTGTAGCAGAGATTATGGGTAAAGATCTTCCAAAATGCTCCTGGATTCTCCCATGCATCCCTCATCTGTCTGAGTTTGAATTAAGCTGTTCATTCCACAGCTAAATTTTCTAACTTTGTGAAATCTTGTCTGTTACTGGCAACACAGAAACACATAAGCAAGAAAAAGGCAAACAAAAATGCTTCTATCACTACAACTTTTAAAATGAGGGCAAGAAACTAACACAGAGAGATACTGCATAAGCAAATTGATTTAATTGCACTACATGAAAGAGAAGGCAGGTCTTACTGAAGCAGAGAAGTAAGACAGCATGCCAGAACAAAATTCCTCAAAGCAATGGCATATAAATATTGAATAAAATGCAAAAGCCAACTCTGCAGATGGCTTTGGGAAAAGCAGCCGCTCTGGCTGCAAGTATGTTTCAGAGCACACATTACAAAACTTGGAAATCTGCAAAGCCAAGGAGTGAATAATCCACTAGAGGGAAATCCCCAGCTTCCACAATCAAGTACAGGGATTACAAAGACATTTCTAAATCACTGAGAGATGGGATGAGACAGAAGACTGAATGTTAGGATTTTGAGTTTTCCCCTTAGCATCCCACACTGCCATGCCAGGCTTATTCCTATTGCTGGTCTTCGGATACCAGTTTTGGTATTTAACTTGGGGTGTTCATCTCTCAGCAAAACAATAAAATATCATCTCTGTAGCCATTACTTTCTTCCAGAGGCCTTTGCAAAAGGCATTTCCAACAAATTTAAATATATGATTGCCAATCAAGTGAGCTGCATCCGCTCAATTTGCTTCTTGCCTTTTACATAGAGAACCAGCTGTAGGATCCATTCACAAAAGCTTCTGGAGCAAAGAGAGGATTTTGTTAATCTGGATTTGGGAGCCCCAAGCTACTGGTTTGAAATTTCATGATGAATCTGTCACCCTGTATTTCCTCTCCCTTGGGAAAACAAAGGACAACTGTATGTAGAAAATCAGGCTTATTCCTCTTAACTGTAGGAAGCTACCAAGGAGAAATAAATGAAGAGAATTTGGCATCATGCTACTCAGATAACCAAACCACCCCACACCTTCAGCTTTATGTGATTTGCAGAGTGGCAAGCAAGTAATATCTATCTATCTATCTATCTATCTATCTATCTATCTATCTATCTATCCATCCATCTACCTATCTATATATATATACATAATATTTAGATATAAATATAAATATATATAAATATACAAATATATATATATAAAACAGCAGCCAAACCCCCAAGTCAGACCCACAATGCAATGTTTCTGTGGGTTGCTGAGGCAAGAGAATCACAGTGGATGCAAGCAAGGCCACAGGAGTGAGACAAGAGTGAAACAAAACACAGTGTCCTTTGCAGGACAGCTCTTTCAGAAGCTTGCAGGCTTTCCTCTGAGAGGCTGAGAGCTCACAACCTCTCTGCACCCAGGACATCCAGCACTATTCTTTTCAGTAGGCTGAGACAGAAGGTACCAGTGTGAGCTGGACAGCAGGCACCTTCAAAGCGGTGATATTTAACACAAAGAATTGGAAATTTTTTCTTACAAGAGATCTTTTTCATCTGCAGGATTGGAGATGCTTGAACATGTGCAACCAATGCCAACTGCATCTTTCATACAGAATCATGTGCCAAGAAACATCAAGTTCCTACCCCTACAAACACATTTCCTGAACTTACTTTGAGGGAACAGCTATCCCAGTGTGGACTGGGACCAGAGGACACCCCAAAGGTCACACAGCAAGTAAGAAGGGAAGCAGCAAATGACCTCCAGTCACTCTGCTGCCCTTGCCATGCATCAACCTCGTCACCGGGCACCACAGTGTGTACAAGAGGTCTTATGGAAATCAGTTCTAAAACACACAAGACAATTAATCTGAAAAGGACACTGAGCAATACAAGCAGGTTTGTCATCATGCCTTGTGCCAACTAAGCTTTCAGCCCTTCAAATCTAGCACTTTTCTCATGCTCAGGAAATATTTCTGCTATGTGTTAAAATCACAATGAACCCCAAGGTATTTACACATAATACTAAGAATATCAGAGATTAGTATAATGCACAGTATGTTTAGAATTGCAGAATTGTTAATGTAGATTAAAGTGCTTTGCCAGTAATCACTCACTTTCCTGACCCAGCCACATGGCATTTCCATTTGCTGCCCTCCAGCACTGCCAAGCTGCACAGCTGCTCCCGGGGCCCTGTGGGACTGTGACAAGTGCCATGGGACTGCTCTGGCCCCGGCCCCGACTGCAGCAGGGTAAATGTGCTCTGTGAGACTGCCAGGAACAGGGAGCTCTGAGGGCTGAGCCAGTGGGCTGGAGCTGGTGCTCCCATCACACACAGCCAGGGCTGGGGCAAGCAGGGCAAGGAGACCCAGCAAGACTCCATGCCCACAGTGCCCTGTGTCTTGTGGAGCATCCCCTCGGAGGCAGCCTCCATGGAGCTGGGGAGGCTGGGATGGGCAGCTCAGCAGCAAACACCTGCAGCCCTACAGGAGCTGCTGTCCCTCTGGTGCTGTGAGTCACACCAGTGACACACAGGCGCCCCTCAGCAAGCACCAGCCACTCACTGGGTGGGCAGGGTGCTGGCAAAAGACACTCCTGTAAAATCCCTGCTCCTTACAGCATGGAGCACTAGTGAAGAGGGTGTCTGAGAGGGGACAAGAAAAACTCTAGGACTGAATACCACTGAGGCAATAAAGGTAGATCCAGTATTTAATCATCTTTTCCAATAACCGCTTCATTTTTTTAAGAAGTATTTCTGAGAGATTTCTACATTTCATCACAGTGAATGGGTGATGATGAAAGATTTTGTCTAGACAGAAGGTAAAGTTTGAACTTCAAAATTAAGTTCTACACAGTGGGGAAAAAACCTAACCAGCACAATGCTACGTTTGCCTTAAAGCATTGAAAAAAAAAAAAAAAGAAAAAGAAAAAAAAAGGAAAAAAAAGAAAACCCCCAAAAGTTAAAACCCCCAAAACAATAAAATTTTATTATTCTAGAAATATGTTCTATCTAAAGTAAATATTTTAAATATTTCATATTAAATATTAGCAAAGATCGCCTTGTGGAGATGAAAGCAACATCACCAGGGAGTTTCATAAACCGTCTCAGTTTCTGGGCAGCTGCTCTTCAGCACTAACAGCACACAGCATATTTGGTGCAGTGTAGATTTCTCTCTTTTTTTTTTGCAGGATATACTTATTTAGTGCCATAGCAGAAGAAGCAATTAGCAGGCATTTCACGGGGCAATCTCCCAAGAGCAGTCCTGAGACAAGAGCTACTCCACCACAGATCAGACCCTGGCAGGAGATGCAGCTGGGTGCCCCACAGACCTGCAGGGGTGTCAGGCTGCCCCACCTCAGACCTTCTTGCAGGTTTCTCTTTTCCACAAGCAGCCTTACCACTCACAAATGCTTCCTCTTTTTTATTGCCTCTGCCCTGATAGCCAAGCTCTTGGCACAGATGGTCAGGACCACGATGAGGACTCCGACCAGCAAAGTCACCACAGGCCAGAGGAAGCAGTGCAAGAGAACAGTCTCATCGTGGGTGCGCTTCAGCATCACGTCATCCGGCCTGGGAAACAGGAAACAGAAGATGGAGAAAAGATAATTCAACATAATATCATCAATTCATCAGTGGGAGCCATCTAACATGGTAAGAGTAAAGGTGATTTATTTGCCAAAGTTAGAAAATTATTAAGTGGATTATTTCGTTCACTGCTTGCATTTGCCTTTTTATCACCAGCACTCATAGCAGACTGGGAGAGCTTTCCACTTGCAGTGTGTATAGCCTAACAAGTTTACTTGGATAAAGAGAGAAAAAAAAGTGTTGGTGCTCTAGATCTTCCAGCAAATGTGGTCATCACAAGCAGCCATGAGAGATACAGTATCACACTGACTGTGGATTGCAAAACCACTCTGGCAAAAACATAATACCAGGCAGCATTTATACCTATCTACCTCAAATGTTATCAGGCCCCGTGAAAGGATTTAAACAGTAATTAAAGCTTCACTTCTAGCTTTGAGCACTGATGAGTCCATGGGGCTCTATGGAGGCTCCTGATGGAGCAAGCCCTGGCTGTGGTTTGGCTCTGGGCAGGGAGCTGCTCCCTGTGCTCAGCATTGGCCCAGGCTGGCCCAGCTGCACCAGCAGGCTCCAGGAAATCCATCCCACCAGGACCACAGCCTGCACGGGTGGCCAGGGCTCCCAGGTCAGCTCCTTCCCAGCAGTGGCTGTCTCAGCAACAGGCTGGGATCTGGGGCTGCACACAGCAGGGCCTCAGTAGACTGGAGGTGGCTCCTACAGGGACAATTTGGCAAGACTCCCATGAAGGTCTGATCCTCCTCGCCTCCAGCAGCAGCATCTAACACACACTCATGGTGGGGCCTGTGACAGGTTTACACACTTCCAAAGGGAAACGAAGGAAGGAGGAGAATTGAGGTGGAAGTATCTTGAGACATTTGGAAATTTAGCTTTGCCACATGTCTGAAAGACTTGCTGTCTATCTGCCTCTTCCAAGTCTGGGAGGTTGTTGGCAAAATGTGATGGCATATTTTTCTCAGCTCTGGCTCTTTCTGCTCTCCCTCACAGTTTAATAGTTATTAAATCGATCTCGTGGCATTTGCACTTTGTTCTTGTCTTCCCATCTACAGCCAGAGACACACAGTCTGCTGGAAAACTATCTGCAAAGGAGAGAAAGAGAACTTTCTCCAACTAGAAGAATATCAATAGTCTCGACTCACCTTGCTCCTCACTCACACTGAGCACTCCCATCCATCGCTTGTTGCTTCACCAATGCCACCTGACACTTCTTGGAGCAGCAAACCTCACAGCCTAAAGTCCTGGCAAACCAGGCCCATCCAGCAATGTCCTGGGAATCAAGGTGTCCTAACATGCTGGCACATGGGAGCAGATCCCTGCTCAATGACTCTGCTGTGTCTCCCATGATAGCTTTGTCCTGATGAGAAAGGAGCCCTAAGAAAGAATTCTCTGTTGAGGAAAAAGAAGGAACTCTTCTTCCTTCACTGAGAAATTGAATGGAGATGCTTGCAAGTCTACAGAGTTTTATCCATCCTTAAGGAGCTACTGGAGCCAGACTGCCAAGCTACACTTGATGCCAGATTTAATTACTCCTGCATTTGCATTTGGGGATCTCTCCCCCAAAATTGCTGTGTGGGGAATCCTCTGCACTGTGCCAGACTGAAAGTCCGCAAGACCAGCACCATTCATCTCTCTTTGTTTCTGTAGTAAGGAGCAGAATAAAACTCCGATTGTGAGCAGCTCAGCTATGTAGAATTTGAAATTCAGCAGCATAAAAAGATAGCAAAAGAATCCCAGGTGCATTCAGTAGTGGAATGTATGAATTCTGCACAACCAAAATCCTCCAGATATATAAGCAGGCACAGGTGGAGACTATAAATTGAATAAAGCAGTATTAACTTCATGGGTGCAAATTCACCAACCTGTGCACCTGAACAGAGAAATCCTCTCACAAGAGGCATAAGCCTGCTCCCCCACTGTTACTGAATCATCACCTGTAACAACAGAGTGCTAATTGGCAAGGAGGCCATAAGTTGGCAACACTCATTCTTCACAGCTCTGAACTTATTATTTCAAGTATTTTTTTTAAGCAGATGTTAGTTCAAAATTAAGGGACAAGCAAAAACCTAGAAAAATGGATTCAATTAAAGGAAAGAAAGTGTGATTGGGGAAAGTAAGATATCTTTTAGACTGAATCTTAAATGTTTTGAAAAACATAGATACCAAAGGTACCAGTGATGGATGTCAATCACTCATTATAGATATGAGAATGACTTAGTAATTTAAAAGAGTTTCCCTTTTAGAAAAGAGTCAAAAACAAAGCCTTTAAATAAGTTTTGAGCTGAGGTTTGGGTTTATATGGGTATTACTGCTATTTTTAAGTACAGCGAGTGTCCCTGTGCACTGGAGTGGCCTCACCTTAATTCCTTTGTGCAGTTTTGGGTGCCACAATATAAGAAAGATATTAAGATGTTGGAAAGCATCCAAAGGAGGGACGTTGAGGACAGTGAAGGGCCTTGAGGGGAAGCCGTATGAGTGGTGGCTGGGGTCACTGTTCAGTGTGGAGAAGAGAAGATTGAGGGGAGACCTCATTGCAGTTACTGCCTCACAAGGGGAAGAGCAGGGGCAGACACTGAGCCCTTCTCTGTGGTGCCAGTGACAGAGCCCAAGGGAATGGCCTGAAGCTTTGTCAGGGGGGTTCAGGTTGGGTATTAGAAAAATGTTCTTCATCCACAGGGTGGCTGGGCACTGGAACAGGCTCCCCAGGGCAGTGGTCACAGCACCAAGACTGTCTGAGTTCCAGAAGCATTTGGGCAATGCTCTTGGGCACATGGAGTGACTCTGGGAATGGTGCTGTGCAGGGCCTTTGGCTGGATTGGATAATCCCTGTGAGTGCCTTCCAATTCAGAGTATTCTGTGATTCTGCAGCACTTCAAGCACAGTAATGTAACTGCTTTGGGTTTGCTTGGAAAAGGTAGCAGTTTTGACTTTTCGTGCTACCTTTTTAAAAGTGACCTGCCTGCTCCCACAGTCTGAAGGCTTGTTGTTTGACTTGGAAACAGAAATGGAAAGGCTCTGTCCCCAAAGGAAGACTTCTCATGGTAAAGACCTGTCCTTGCTGGAGAGCCTAAGAGCATCACTCCACTGGTGCTGAGGCAGTGATGTTGAACCCAAAGGAGGTACACCATGCCTAGAAAAATGTTTCTTTCCCCTATAAAAATCAGCTGATACAATTAAATTTGTTTCCTTGCTCCTGCAAGTACAGTGTCTTCAATAAACCCATCTTTGCTCTGTGACTTTCTACAGTTCTTCAGTTCAAAGATGTTGGCAGAGGGGTTGTGCATATTCACCCTAAGCACGATTATTGGCAGTCTCTTCTTTCTACCAATGCTGCCAATCAGGTTTCCAGTAAATGTAAAGCCTCTTGAGGAGATGCACCCAAAATCCTAACACCAGTTATCCATGCATAAAACAACAGCAGAGGCAAGAAAGAGACCTAGTGAGACAAAAGGGGGAAGCCCTGCAGTGATTGCAAGCCATGCCCAGGCATTCCGAGCTGGCTCTTGCTGCCAGCAGTGATGGCCACTGTGCAGCACCACCTCTGCCCAGCAGCAGTCCCAGGGTGAAACAACAAACAAACTGAAAAAAACACCCCTGAAAAAGCCTTTGCCTTACTCCTGAAAACACAGTCTTCTCTTTCACTGAACAGGCAAGGAGGAAGTAGTTTTGTTTTCATTGCTAAAAGGTGAGACCAGGACTTATTTTTAGCAGGACTTTGAGCTCAGGGCTAGACCCTTGTGGAGCTTTGAGCAGGGCTAACTGGATTACTTGCATTATACAACACATCCCTGTTAGGTTCTGCCAGGTAGCTCAGACACCAAATAAAACAGGCCTCCATCAGAGCCTGCAGAGCAATTACTGAACATCATGGGGAGAATTGGCAGGCAGGGATTACCAAAATGTCATGCAGGACCAAAAGATTACAGGCACATAAACATTTCAGTCATCACTTATGAACCAAACTGTGAACTTAATGTCACAGAACAATAGCTGACAGAGGTGGAGGTGCTGGATAAGGAAACCTTACAAATATCTTTGTATTCAAACAATCTGGATTTAAAGATGTTTGCAATACACTGACTTTTCCCCACACAGATAATCACATCCCTTTGCTCTGACAAGCAGTCATTTTTTCCCTCATTGTTGCAAGATGCAGAGATCCTCAGCTGGATGGCTGCATGCAGAGGCAGCACAGTGTCTTACTGACAGTCAAGCCCTTTCCCCCTCAGGCCCAAGCACTGCTCTGCAGGTGGAGGGAATTAATTTAGAAAACTGTGAAGTAACAGAGCAAACCAAGATTTATGTTCCAACATTTTATGGATGAGCAGCCTTGCTACCTGAGCACCCTTGGCTTGCACACATAATTATTCTGAGATAAGTGGGAACCCTGCAGGGCACCCCAACAACACACAGGTTGTCACTAATCACTTGACAGGGTTTGCTCTTCAAATCTCTGATGAATTGTGTACAGCATCCTGCAGCCAGCACACAGGAGGTTAAAGCATGGCTGGCTCATCTGCTGTGCCACAGCAAAGGAAACACAGAGTGTTCTTGTGTATGGGACAAACCCAGAGCTAACAAGCAATAATGCCATAGAAATCAGCCACTAATAAGAAATGACTTGACACAGGTTGCTCTGCCTGTCTCTGCATGGCATGAGACAGTGAGGCCTCAGCTCATGGCAATCTTAGCTTCTCTCTTTGTTGTTCTTGTCATGGATGTCAATGGCACCAGGAACACGAAGGAATAAAGTGACAGGATCTTCCCCATCCTGCCTGTTCCCACAGGCCTCCCACTTTAGCAGCTGTGGCCCTTGTTTGCATGAGGCTGTGACTGCAGACTGCTGAGACACTGGGTGTGAGACCCAGAACACCAAAGCCCCTGAGCTCAGTGCCCTCTCAAACCTTTGGCAACAGCCTGAGAACTTCATCTGGATTTGTCCTTTATTTTAGAGTCTGAAACCAACTGAAGGCTGGTTTCTGCTGTGCTGGGCTTCCTTCAGCCTGGGGTATCATCATGCCAACAGAGAGGCACCTTCACCAGAGATCCAGAAAAGCAACTTGAACATGCAGCTTGAGCCCCTTGTCCCAAAGCTTGTCAGAGAAGAGTGCAACACTGAAGTTAAGTGCCCGCAGTGCAAAGCAAAACCTCACTCTTCAGTAAAGCACTGAGCTCCAAGATAAGCTGTACTTTGGTTCCCTAAGACAAATGTCAGGCAGCTAATTTTGCTGGGCAGTTTGATTTACAGTAACTAAGAATGGTTGAAATTGCCAAGTCTGCTTCTCATCCCTTTTGCATAACTTTGAATTGTGAGAATGGCACCTCATTTTTTTCATCTTTCCAAAGTAACCTGTTGAACCCACCAAACTAAAAGGGAGAAGTTACCCAACAGTACACTCTGCCTGCAGCAACATTTCTGACAATGAAAACTAAGTAAACTCGATGAAGAGGAGATGTTGTTCTTTCATTGCCTGCATATTTAAGTAGAATTTTATTCTGCTGTTTCAAAAGAGGGAGTATTAACATTACAAACACCACATTCTCTAAGGAACTATTTACTGTACATTTTATACAGACTGACAGAGAACAGTTAGCTTATCCACACAGTGAAAAAATACTGTCAGAAAACACGCACACTTCTATTTTGAGGGGAACAGATTTCTCCCTCTTTGTTGTGGCTTCTTTTCACTGCTTTTTAGGCTGCTTAGTCATCATTGCTCTAAAAGTATACCCAAGCAAGCACATTCCCAGTCAGCAGAACTTATCTCCCAAAGCTCATTGCTATCTCCAGAAGAAAATAGATGGTGTACACATTTCAGCTTAGACTATCTTCTAGTATCTCTGGCAGCAAGCCTCTCTCATCCTGTGTATGAATTGTTGCATGATCAGCAAAAGGCAGTGTTTCAAGGCAGCCATTGTGCTGGCAAGAACTTTTAGCAGTATAGGATTCAGCATCTTTAGGGGAAAAAACCCTTCCTGAGTGCTGCACAATTTCTCAGTGCCAGCTTACATAAACGTCAGATGCTAGGCAGAAAGAAAAGCTTTGTCTTTGCTACACCAAAATGTAATGTGAGAGTTAGCTCCCATAGCTCTGGACACCTACCACCCTCCACTCCTCTAGAGGAGAGAAATAAACATCTCTGAGCATCTGACCTGTATCAGGCATTTACTTTGGGGTAAGGTAAAAGGCTCCTGTTTCTCTCCACTGACTAAAAAAGTCACACAGTTACCTTTTACACCATCCTTCGCACACCAGTTTAGATGTATCCTAGCCATGACTCCTCCTGCAGACAATCCCATGTTTCTGACTCTCCTGCTCACTTGGGCAGTGGCTGCTGCAAGTCCCAGTTCTCAGGAGTACAAGGAACAGGCAGCACCTGCCTGCCCAGACAAACCAGAACCATAACTTGGCTCCTGGTCACCAGATCCAAGCTTTGGCGCCTTGAGGACCAGAGGACTCCCAAGAAGGTCCCTGACAGGTCTGATGCCAACACTCAGAGTGCCCTAAGTTTTAACCTCTGCATGCTGTAAGCAATGTTTCTGTCCCCTCTAAAGGAAAAAGTTTTGCTATAAAGTTTTGGTGGTGTCCCTCTGAAAAGAGTTAACCAGGGACAACAAACTCATCCTGGGCATGCTGGCTGTGTCTATTCTCTTCAAGGAGACAATTGTTACAGCCAGCCTAGCACAAAGCTGAAGCCCCCAAGGCAAGGCACTAGCAGGACACTCACAGTGAGTCAGGCATTTCTCCACCTGCCATCCATTTTCCTCCTGATTGTCTTTCTGAACTGAAATATCTGGTGCCAGCACTCCCAGACTGAGCCCTGAATTGCACCTGCAAGCCATGAGCTATTCCCTCATCTATTTACCTTTCCAGTGTGTGTGGGACAGGACTAACCTCCTCCTGCAGCCACAGGACCTTTTATTTCCTGGCAGATCACACAGAAAGAGACAGGAAAAAGCACTCCCTCCCCTTTCTGTTCACTGGAGGAAGGAAACCACACGACATACACATGAAGTCACATCAACACTGGCAGCAAAAGTAAGAACTGAAACAGAAGGGGAGATGCTTTAGGTTACAACTTTCTACTCTACAAGCACATATGAAACCTGGCAGTTCTGTTGCTGTTTATTTATATCTGATCCATTAACCCTCTATGAACACAATTGCTGAGTTAGTTTGTCATATTTACTGATCTCCCCTTTTCTTCCATGAACACAATAGGGTTTCTTTCCTGTGGAGGAAAGGAACGGTAATATCCACACCAGAAATCTGCCATCTGAATGTTAAAAGCCAAGATGCTTTTTGCTATAAAAATTGATGTTTTAAGGAAAACTTTTCTCAGTGTTTTATATTTTTACTTCAAGTGGTAAAAATACTCCTTTCTTTTCTGTATAGCTTTTCATCAGTAGAGCTGTCCTGCAAAGTTCTGCGCTGAGCTCTGTGTGATAAAGCAGATTGCCCTGGAGGGGGTCTCTGTGTGTATGCACATATGCATGCATTTATAGTTTGTTCAAACAGAGCCAATGGACAGCTGTGAAGCAGATGCACAAGCACTCCTGCCCAGCCAAAAGGAGATTACTCACCTCAAGTGCTGGTTAAAGTAGCACGTGAATGGTTGAGATCCCACTTTCTCCTTCCAGTATTTCTGCTTGTACGTGACGTTCTCAGAGTTCTCCTGATCATCTCTTGCACAGGGAGGGATGTATGAGCACTGCCAAGAAACATTGCAAAACAGGGTTACTGCTGTGCTCAGGAACTCAGGGCATCACTTCTCTGCCTCTTCCTCATGCTACCAGCGTGACTGAAATGGACTGAGAATGACAAACAAAAGCCCCAAAGAAACAGAAAAGAAATATTTGCTGAACTTCACTTCAATTGCTAATTATTGTGTGCGGGTACTGGAAAAGAATATAGTAGCATTCAGAAAGAAAATAAAAACTTCGCCATGTTTGTTCCACTCTTAAACCAAACCACCTCATAATATCTTGGAATTTGGCATGATGAATGTGAAAATGATAATTTCATTTTGATGTATTCCTAGCCAGCTGCATGGATTGGATTTTAATAGCTTCCTATTTTCAGTGAGGCTCATAATCAGAAGTTTAGTTAAGCATCATGCTAATAAATATCCCAAAGAGTCCAGCAAGCTTTCCCAGAGGATGGGATATCTGGCTGATGTCCACTGATATAAGTATTTATCTACTGTGTACAACACACAGAAAGAAGAAAAAGGGCTCACAGCCCTGCTTCAGCAGAAAGGTTCAGTATCTGCTTCTGCTGTACAGAAGTCAAGGAGAGTTGAGCATGCAGCTGAGCTACCTGCAGATCTCACCCTCAGTCATCTGCTTCAAAGCCCAGAGAGCAAGGGAGATTCCTCCCACAGCTTGGTGCCCTTGGGACTGGGCTTTCAGAGGCTCCCCTATGGGTCAGACACAGACACCCACACCCACATTCCTTGTTTCCAAGTCTCTGCCACACCACCCTTAAGTCCTATCCACAGGCAGTTAACCAACAGAAAGCAAAAGTGCCCTGAATCAAGTGTCAGCCTATCAGAGTTCAGTGTCCATGCACAATCCCTCTCATTTTTCCCAGGCATCCACACAGGAGATCATGACAGGAGCTGTTGAACCACACTGAGTGACAGAGCTTGGCTGACCCTCCCATAACACAGAGGCTTTTCCCCTTGCAGGACGTATGGACGCCAAGTGAACTGAACACACTGAATTTTAATTCATTTAAAACTGGGAGCTGCAAACAGAAAAAAGTGTGATTGGGAAGGCAGCTAAAAGGCCTCCTGCTTAGGAAAGATGAGGAAGCAGAAGTGTTGTCACCTTATTGCAAAGTTCCCATACCTTCTCAGTGATTTCTCATGGACAGCTCCTCACAGCACTGACTCCTTCTTCACAGCTCAACCAACAAACTCCAACTCTCTCCTCACCCAGGTAACCCACTCTTCTATAGCACTCATCATTGCTGGACACAGCTGTGGCCTGTAAAGGGCAGGTCTGTTCCTAATCTCTGGTAATTAGCACAGCTGCAACTCCTCAGGGGTGAGATTGCCTTCTGCACGATCTTTATTTTCTTAATTCTATCCCCCCACACAGAAGGTGAAGGGTGTGGGAAGCCCCTAAAGGGGGGCCCACAATTGATCACAACATTAATTTCTCCTGTGTCCTGGAGGCAGGAATAGCAAGGAGAGCCCTCTCTGATGTGAGCATGAAGTTCACCATGGCTCACTGTGCCTGGCACTGCTTCCTCTCCTTCAGCTGAGGTTTCACAGGAGCTTACCTGCCCCCAGCTGCACACTATACCTAAGATGTACAGACCTGCAAGACCATGTTCACCATACAACAGCTTGAAGATTTGCCATTCCAAGGGCAAGGGAGAAATCTCAGGATTTTATTCCCCTGATCATGTAAAATCTGACCACTTGTGTCAGCTCCTGCAATTGCTACCAGTGTTTTGTGTGCTTCAGAATTACAGAATCTGCAAGGTTTTCCTTGCTGCTTCCAGACTGAAACCTACCTTTGCACACACAAGGATCTTCATTTTCACATGGACTCCTGCTGGTGTTGCCAGGCACAGAGCTCCCTTTAGCTCCCTGTTCACAGGACCCTACACAAGGGGTGTCCCACTGCTGATGATGGAGGACAGAAATGAGGGCAACTCCACTCTACTTCAGGAACCAGAATGCAGGGCTTATCACATACTGTTTTGCCATCTCAGATAATATTCCTTGGTCAGCAGAACTTTTTGTTTGGTTGCCCACTTTGGAAGCATCAAACACTCCCCTTTTTCCTCCACACTCCCAGTGCACAAACACATTTGTGCAGCAGCTGGGCAGAGTCAGCAAATTTGGCACAAAGACACCTGAGAGCACTGCTGGCTCTGCTCTGACCCCTGCCAGCACCCATGTGCTGCACCTTCCCAGCTGCTCCCCTGCTCCCTGCTTGGCCCGGGCTCCAGCCCTTCCAACATCCTCCACTCCGAGGTTTTCCTGTAGGGAACTTTCCCTGCCCTGGGAATGGCACCAAACCCCACGGGCTGTGCACTCACTGCCTCCATCTGACAGCAACCACCACTCTGCTCTTCCCAGCCCCTGCTTGTGGGCAGCCCCCAGCTTTTAGGGGCTCCAGAAAGAGCTCCCAAACCAGACACTGTTTGGTCAGCACACAAAATGCATAACTAGACAAACCAGCTAAGTACCAATAGAGATTATTTTGCCTAAATGCACCCAGCTATCTCAAAACTCCTTTTCCTGTGTTCCTGGCTCCTGTACACATATTTCCTCTATCCTCTGAGATGTTTCCTCTTCCTGGCTGAGCCTGCTGCTGTCCTCTGCTATGAAAGAGCAGCCAGTGCCCCACCAGTCCTGGTTAAACTTTCTCTGGATCCTTCAGAGACCTTCCACCCCACAATATATCACTGCAATCCTTCACAAAGTTCATAACCTGGTGAGCTGTTGGCTAGCCCCATGCTGAGTTTCAGGCTTAGAAACAACAGAGAGGTCTCTTTTCCCAAGAGATGTCCCTCTGAACAGACAAGTATCAAACTTTAGCAGACTCCCAGGACATTTCATCAGAGAGCTTCACATTCTTTCCCCTCAGTCCCCATGCTGTTAGCTCAACACATAGATATTAAAAATTGAGTTTTCAGGGCAGGGATTTTTCTTGGTTTGGAAGATGTAAAGGGGCCCACAGAGTTTCTCTGGGCAGCACTTCTGTGTTTTCCTGTGCCAAAGCAAGGCAGTGTATAGGAGTGTTGCCAGTGCCTACAGGAGGGACTCCTGGAAGGTGGGCACAAAAGTAAACATTTTCCATAACTCAAACTTCACATCATTTTTTGCACACATAATCCCAGCTGACAGAGAGCATCTGGATACATTTCTACCTCTTCCTCTCTATTTCCATGCGGAAAACACAAAGGAGACACCTGGGGTCTTGCTATAAATTGACGTGGCCTCACTACTTCTGCCTGCTGAGGATTAACAGTCCTGAGGAGAGGAATGGTCCCTGCCCAAATATGAATCCCAGGGGCCACCCTGAAACATCAACTCAATGTGACAAAGGCCTTGAGCAACAGAAAACACCCAAGATGCAATCCCAGAGTGAGCATTGTCAGCTGCTGCACAAACACTGGGGCTTGTTTTCCTCCCCAGGATGCCAGCGCTGTCCCCACAATCCAAGGTGATTTTTGTCTCTTTCTGACCCACACAGGGGCTTGATCTCTCTTCATACCTTTAGGACACTTTGCTCTGCCACATCTATCACCCTCCAAAGCAGATTCAGCGGGCAGATAAAAGGGAATTGTGTCTTCACAAATTTTGCTGCTGTGACTTGATGGATGGATGTGAAATAATTTCCACTTTGGCAATAGGCAGTTTCTGAAACATTAAATCTGTATTCCTCCCATGGAAGACATGGCATGAAATACTGACATCAAAACATAAACGAATGCCAACTGAAAGCAAGCTGGGACACCAGTAAAAAGGTCAGTTAATAGCCAATACATCTTTACACCAAGGTTTTGTAGGATTTGTATCTGTGTTTGCTGCTGGATGCTCCCACTTCAGTCTCTGCAGGTGCCAGGAAAAATTCCTGGTACATCTGAACATTTAATGAGGGCAGATGTTCTTCCATATCACAGAGAAAGAGCAGATGCATGAACTCTTGACTATGGTTTAAGTTCCAGGTTGAATTTCTTGCTTTTCAAAGATCAATTCTTGCCTAATTCAGTCACATTTTAAATTAAAAAAAACAGACTTGACAGACTACAAGTCAAAGAAAGTTTCACATGTGAAGAGACATTCCAGCCCAAAGTAGAAGCAGTTCAGCCCAACAGAAGACAAAGTAATTCAGGAGCAAGATTTCAAAGTCAGTTTCCAGGTGAGCTGTGGAGGAGCATCCTGCTGGCTCCTGGTGAGCTGTGGGGCAGGGCATGTGCCATTTGTTTGGTGTGACACAGCCCTGCCACACCTGCTGGAGTGGAAATCACCTGCAGCCCATGGTGAGCCCCCACCACAGCAAAGGGATCCATCCCAAAGGAGGTGGTGGCTTTGAGGGAAGCCCACATGGGAGCAGGGTCCTGGCAGGACCTGTGCTCCTGGGGAGAGAGGAGCCCATGCTGGAACTACAGCCTGTGGGAAGGACCCACGCTGGAGAAGGTGATGCAGGACTGTCTCCTGTGGGAGAAACCCCACCCTGGAGCAGGGAAAGAGTGTGAACAGGGAGGAGTGCAAATGTGTGATGAACTGACCACAGCCCACATTCCCTGTCCCTCTGTGCTGGTGGGAAGGAGGAGGTAAAGAAAATTAGGAGTGAAGTTAAGCTCTGGATGAAAAGATGGGCAGGGGAAAGGCATTTTTATATTTGATTTTATTTATGCAGTACCCTTCTCTGATTTAATTGGCAATAAAACTGATTAATTTCCCTGAGTCAAGTACATTTTTCCCATGATGATAAAGGATGGATGATCCCTCCCTGTCCTTATCTCAACCCACAAGCCTTTCATTATATTTTCTCTCCCTTGTCCACCTGAGGAGTGATAGAGCAGCTTGGGGGGGACCTGAAGTCCAGCCAGGGTCAGCCCACCACAGCAAGCAATAGATGAGCTGCTCCTGACTCTGTGTGTGTCTCCATGCACCCCTGGGTTACCTTCATGGCCTGGAGGGCAGGAAGGGCTGCCACAGCCATCCCACTGGGCAGGGCAGGAGCTGGTGGGCTCACTCCATTAGTACAGAAATGGCCCCTCCCAGCTGAGGGTCCTGAGGGAACGGGAGCTGAGCACCATGCCTGGCTTCCACCTGCATCTGTCAGTGCAAACCATCATCAGCAGCAGCAGCAGCAGCAGCACAGCCCACCAGGAGGGATCAAACCCATGACCCCTCTCAGAGGCTCAAGGCAGGGAGTGGTGCCCAGGTGGGACAAGTGGGTTATAGGGTTTATCCATGGCCCCTGGGCCCACTTGCCGAGGAATTGCTTGGCAGCATCTGCAGAGTTTGCCTGTCCCAGGTACCAGCCCAAGCGCAGATCTGAATGCTTCACCAGACAGAGGCTCCAGACTCTCACAAAATTATTGTCAAGTTGCACTCTGTTATGAAACCTCCTCAGCCACGGGCCATATTTAAGAGAGTCCAAAAATTAAGCCCAAGTCTATTTACAGGTGTGCAGAAGAGATGACTGCACATCATGCTGTCATGTGGAGCCATTACACAGAGAAGCACCACAGGGGCACGGGGAGTGTGGAGAGCAGACAAGGGGCAGCTGCTGCTCTTTGCTCCTTGCCTGGGGACCAGGAGGGCCAGAACCAGGTCCTCTGCACAGCTGCCAACATCTGCCTTGCAGTCACTCCCCTAAACTTTCCTAGGCAAAACAGGGGGGAGCTCCTTCCAACCCTACACTTAACTGCAGATGTAGAAAGGAAATGTCTAAAAAGCCAGAGATCTGACATTTTCAGCAGCTGCCATACTCCCCTGGGCCTGGTCCCTGTGCACCTCCAATGTACCCCATGGCCAGAGGGGAACAGTGACAAATTGACTTTGGAATTAATCCTGCTTAAGCCTGATCTCAGAGATTATTATTGCTATCAAGGCAGCTGAAGAAAGGCTACAGTCACTCCAATGAATTTCTTCCTCTGAGACAGCAATCAGAAAAAAAAAGAGGAAATCCACAGATCACTCAGACAACACAAATGTAATCGGGTTCGGTGCTTTATATATACATTCCTGGATTATCTCTGACCCAGCTATATAATCTTTTAAGAGCTAAAATGAATCCTGGGCTGTACAATGATGTGATTATCTTAGAAAGCAAGAGAAGAAAAAAAAAATTCTTTTTCCTGCATCTAGAAAAATATTTTTTCTCACTGGAACAGACATTCATATCTGTGATATGTTTATATGTCAGCCTGCTCTACTACAGAAAGTAGAAGATTTTTAATCAAATACACTGGAAATTTTTGGGTGGAGTGAAGCGACCAACTGATTTTTTATTGCTGTGTGTTGTAAGGAGCCTGAACTATGCCCTTTCAACACTATTGATTTACAGGGAAAAATTGCTACCCCACAAAGAGAAGCACCTAAGCAGAAAGTAAAATTTAAAAAATGTTCAAAACAAAATTGTTCTTGTTCTTCCTTTCTAACTAGTGAGAACTGATTAACATGTTGTATGTATGTCTGATTGACTTGTTGTATGTGTGTCTAAATGCATGAACACAAGGAGGCATAGTGCAAAATGTGATGGGAACAGGAAGGGTTAAACAGCTCTCTAAGTGTTTGTTCATCACTACATACAGGATCCTGAGCATTAAATCCTGCAGGTTCCTACTCTGTGCCTCTAGCTAATGTGTTCCAGCATAAAATCCTGAAAGCTTTCAAAGACAGCAAGACTTGAAATCAAAAATCAAAGGAGGGTGTAAGTGTTTGGGTCCACAGGCATTGAAGTAGGGAAAAAAGGGAAAACCAAAGAAACAGATGCAGACTTCAATCCCTTACAAAGATATTTTTTCCTGAAGTGACCTAACCAACTTTTCTTCTTATTTTGTTTTTTGTTTTACATAAGCTTCTCAAAGTAGGAAAAATAATTAGAGTACATTTTTTTTCTACATAGTTTTCCACTGAGATAAATTCAATTACTACCAAAGAATACAGTTACATCAAAAAATTGCATCCTTTCTGCTTGGTCACATCTGGTAAATCAGATTTAATCCTCAGCAATCAATATCCCAGGGTAAACAGCCCACATCTAGAGATGCAAGGTGGAAGGTAAAGAAAACAGATTATATTTGTAAAAGCAGGGAAGTACCACACACTGCCAACAGCCCTGTTTTCTTATGTAGAGTTAACACGAAATTAATTGTTAAATAAAAATAGTTTTCTGAGTGACATTTACAGGCATTACTTCTGAAGCTCGGAGTGCCTCCCTGCATTTGCAATTCAGCCAGGTGCAATCCTTCTCTTCCCTCCACACTTCCAGAAAGGCAAAAGAAAATAAGATCAAGAAGTAAGAACAGAACAAAGTGGTGGGCCAGAAGGGCAGTGTGGTCACGGTCCGGTTTGAGGGCTGCTGCTGAACCTGCAGGGCTGCCAGAGCTGCTGAGCCCAGGCACTGTGGTGCCAATCAGCCCTCACCTCCCAGTTTCCATCTCCAAGCTCCATCCTTGCTGGACATGGCCACAGAAGGGCCACAGGGCTGAGCTCAGGGACAGCCCCGCTGCACCCTCTGCAGAGCCACGTCATCGTTACCCCCTCTCAAAGGGCGACTTTCCTCCTGCATTTTGCCAACTCCCCCCTGCCCACCTGCAAATGGAGAGGTGTTCAGAGGAGCCCTGCAGCTCGGCCAGCTAGGGCACTCCTGGCACGGCTGTGCCACCACAGCCCCCTGCACAGGGAGCCTGGCAGCAGCACTCCCAGGAAAAGGCCTGCAAAGCTCCCTCACAGGCCAGCACTTCCTCTGCTTTGTGATCAGGCTCCATCCAGCACTGCAGCTCCAATCACTCATCACTTCTGAGCAGTGCCAACAATTTAATCCAAATCCTGCCAGATTTACCATCCTGCTACTTACTCTGCTGATTTTTACCTTCGCCACCCTTCCAAGCTGCCAAGGGGGAAAAAGCAACCCTCAAACCCTGAGTGTGAAGCTTTACCTGCCCTCCAAGGGAGGGAGCACACCAGCACAAGTATGACTGAGGAGGTGTGAGGCTGCACATCCCACCTGGACACCCAAGCATGCTTCCCAGCCCCTGCATCGTGCTGAGCATGGCCCTTGGCACTATCTGGCATCCACATCTCAGCCAAAGAGCCGCTTGTCCAATACACTCCTAATCTCAAGTTCTTTCAGGAGTAGGAGCATTCCGACATATTTGGTTTTTTTCTTCTTCAAACTCCTGAATAAGATTTCCTCCACTCAAGTGTGTGCTGTCAAAAGCCATCTTTACCCAGCATAAAAAGAAAAAGGAGAAGGCAGAGTAACTGCCTTTAAAGAAAAAGAAAGCACAAGTCACACATTTGCCTTCCCCAGTTTGCTGGAAGATGTAACTTTCACGAATTCCTCATTTGGTCCCTTTTCGTATGGGTGATGGAGGAGTTTAAGAACCAAAACAGCACGGGGGAAACTTTTGTTTTGGCGCAGCCCCTTCCCCAGCGCCCCGCCAGCAGCAGTTCCATCACCGAGTCTCCGTGCGCTTTGGGCAGCGGCGCTGCGAGATCCCCACGCAGCGGCACCGAGCCCTGCCCGGACGGACAGACAGACAGACAGACCGCCCTGCCGGCAGCAGCAGCTTCTGCTCCTCTCCCGGGGCATCCCGGGTTCCGGCGGGCCGGCAGGGGCACTGGAGCCTCCGCCGCTGTCCCTGCGCCGCCAACCGGGGGCTGCGCTCCGGACGGAATGGGGATGGCAGCGAAGTGTGAGTGCGTGAGAGTCTGTGTGTGTGTGTGTGCATGTATCATACTTAGTATAGTATATAGTACAGTACAATACACTATATAGTATATTATACATTACACAGAGCATGCTATACTGTGCTACGTAGAATCACAAACATCCCGAATTGAAAGGCACCCACCGGGATCATCAGGACCATCTCCTGGCCCTGCACAGGACAGCCCCAAGAGTCACACCATGGGCTTGACAGAAAACGCTTCTTGAACTCTGTCAGCTTTGGTGCTGTGACCGCTTCCCTGGGGAGCCTGTTCAGTGCCCAACCACCCTCTGGGTGAAGAACCTTTTCCTAGTATCGAGCCTGAGCCTTTCCTGAGATGATACAGATATAAACACAACACATAAATATAGATGTACAGTACATGTTTATAGATACACACTGTGGAGATATACTACTTTTTGCTCAGCAACATGCAGAGCGGCATTTCGGACGGATGCTCCCCCACCTCACTTACCATCCTTCACTTCTAGAAGAGAAATCCACGCACGGAACAGAGGGCGGGAGAGGGAGCGGTGAAGGGGCACCGAGCGCGGCGGGACCACCGCCCGCGCTGTGGGAGAGGAGGGAGCCCGCGGGTCTCACCTTGGGGTTGGTGCGCAGCTGCCGCTCGTCCTCATGGAGCAGGGCGGGCGCGGAGGAGCGGGAGGTGCGGACCAGCACCTGCAGGCAGGGGTAGCGGGCGGTGCCGCGGCACGCCGCCCCGCAGGAGAAGGTGCAGGCGAAGCGCTCCCCCAGCTGCCGCACCGCCAGCACCGTGCAGTTGGCGGAGCCGCCGCCGCCCCGCTCCTGCAGCGCCGGGCGAAGCCAGCAACAGCCCAAACCCAGGAGGGAGAGCAAGCCGGCGGCGATGAGGAGGAAGCCCAGCCGCATGCTCTTGTCCTCCGCCTCCGTGTACTCGTAAGCCGCCCGGCTCCTCGCCATCGCCCGGCCGCCGCTGGCATCCGCCGCCGGGCAGCAGCCACTGCCATCGGCTAAAGCCGCCGCCGCTCCCCGCCTCCCTCCCCGCCTCCTCCGAGGCTGACTGTGCGTGTAACCAGCACGGGAAAAAAAAAGATAAATAAATAAAATGCAAATTTAATCCCGTCTGACCTAATTCAGAGCCCTCCGGGGGTGGAAAGGGACAGATTGCAGCGGGATTATCTAACCCCGGAGATTTGCTGTGCGGAGGGCTAGTCCGGATTAATACTGGGTGCCATCATGCAATGTACAACATCTAGAACAGGGTGGGTGGGGTCCTTTGGGTGCATTGTGGCCCCCCTCTAAGGCAACCCTGGCTTGGTTAAATCCTGGAGATCTTGTGTAAAGTCCCGTTTAGTACCGCCAAGGCATCAAAGTCTGCAAGGTCTCTATGAGTAGAGGAGGAAACTAACCTCAAATTAAAGAAATTAAATATCTAGTAAAGCTACTGAACAAGTCAGTAAAAATACTGAAATATTCAGTAAAGCTACTGAAACTATTCAAGTGAGAAGGCAGCTTCTATTTTTACCTTATTAATTAGGAAGGGACATAATGGGAATTGGCAAAATGTTAACATTTTTGGGGTGCAGAGTAAAGTATTCTGGCCAGCCCCAAAACCAGCATCTGCACAGCAGGGACAGAGATAACAGACAAGCAAGATGATAGCTATCACACACAGGAATTGCTTTGAACAGGAAGGTATTGACCTTTGAAAGTTCACCCTAAGAAGTGCTGTCTTCCAAGCAGAATTGCAAGAAAAGCGGCTGATTCAAGAAAATATATTTATTCGGCAAATAAAGTTTGGTTATTACCCAGCATTTCCCACTTGTGTGGCAACACAAGTTCTTTGGTGCCGAAGTACCATAGCAATTCTTATAGTTCTATTCTGTCATCTTTATCACAGGCAATTAGGTAGAACAAAATGTGAGCCCAGAGCTGATAGCTGAACTTGATGACACAGCAGAGAAGAAGGCAGAGAAACACAGAAAAAGTTCAGGAAATAGCACTTTCCTTTTTCAATCTCTTTCCCACTGCAGAGTGCAACGTCAAACTTTTATAAATGAAGCTGATCCATAGGTTCTCCAAATGGACTATTAAGCAAGGTTTGGCAGGAAGGCTATTAAGAGTCCACGCTGTGCCATGAATATAGATGGATGTAAATATTGTCCTTGCTTGCACAGTGCACTACCACACTCCTCTCAAGCCAGCTGCTTTGCAGTAGCCTGCCCTGATTATCAAAGGGTTTCTGGAAAAGTATACCAGCTCTGAGCCAGAATTGTGGTTTTTTTACTTAAACCTCCTATAGGCGTTTATACTAGAAACTCAACTCCTCTTGCTTAGTCCTTAGCTCTGTTCATTCATACCCATCATCAGGTTTTGCTGCCAGCACTTGTGGTAATAGCAGTCTCTAATGGTAGAGGCTTGCTGCATAGAGTTTTCATAATATAAAAAAATAACATTATAATCAGGTTGATTGGTCACTTACCACCTGAAAGAGAAGCTCCAGCTCTGCTTTCCCAGTGTGAGCTGCAGCTTCTTTCTGTCTTACCTCCTGAACAGCTGGCCTTCCATACTCGGTCCAACTCCCTGCAGCCCCTTGTACCTCAGGCGCTGTCAGGCGGAAATTAAGGCAACAGCTCGCTGGGTGACAGAGCAACCGTGACTTAGTCCTCCTGTGTGCATCCAATCCCTACATCCTCCACAGCTGGGGAGAGGCTGAAGCTGTATTTTAACTGGGAATGGCCTTAGCATTCACCAGGTGATCTCATAGATTTTGAACTTTTCTGCACAAATGACTCAGTCAAGACTCAAAGTCTATTTGGATCAATTGGAAGAGAAAAATGATCATCAATGCCTGATCATTGTAGCAGAGTGAAGGGGGCCTGTTGTGAAGATTTTAGCTCTGCTGTCACCTGCGGAGGGCAGGAGTGGGGATGCTAGCTCCAGGACCCTGGCTGCACCAGGAGCCACCAGGGCTGAGAAAGCCAGCATACAAAATTCAGAGTCTGTATGAAAATCTCAACAGCAGGAGAACAGATCCTGCTCTTTTGGGCCCCTCCTTGCCCCACAGCCAAGGGACAGCCTTACCTGTGGCCAGCTGCAGCTGACCCACCTGCAGTGGGTACGGGCAGTGCTGAGAACACTGTGCCTTGGTGGGGCAGCTGCAGGCTGGGCAGGCACAGGGCAGCTCTGCCACCGCAGCCACCAGGCCGCTCATGGGGACCGGGCTCGCAGCGCCCCGTTCCCGTTCCCTTGCACAGCCCAATGCTGTTCCATGGGATGCTGCCTCTCCCGGGAAGTGAACTGCCTTTTCCAACAGCAAATGTTTATATAAAACAACAGAGTGCCTTTAGAAAACCAATACTGTTATGTGCACCAGAAAGTCAACTGGCCTTCCAAGGGAAGAGAGATGTCCGGCACCACCAAAGCCACTCTTTAGTCGAGAATGAGTTTAGAGAGCACTGAAGGGTTTCCACAGAGGTGCATCAATGCCTGCACCAGAGCAGCTCTGGGACACTGCCTTCCTTTGGCTCCTCATCAGGACTGTTTACAGCTGATGCAGGATGCCCCAGTCATGACAACTGGCTACTTCACTGGATTGTTTGCTAAACCACAGGGAGTTCAAAAGGTGATTTTACAGAAAATTATTTTGGTAGTTTTATCAGGAAAAAACTTGACGTATACCCACATATATTAGCTCATTAGTACCAAGAAGACAATATGAAATGCAAATGAGAAACTGAAGCCTAGAAAAAAACCACACAAACTTGGTTCACATCTGCTAATGCAGAAGTGAACTAAATCACTAACAGTCATGGCTATTGTTCAATGTGCTTTAACATTACTGCCAAAAACATAAAGTTCACCTCGAACACTAAAGTGGTTTTAAGGAGTAAAGGTACTGAAAATATTAAAGCCAAAATTTCAAAGTAGGTTATTCAGCTGCATTTCCTCAGGTCTTTTTAATGTACTGGAAGCTTTCAGATTTATGGAAACGAGAGCATGCATGCTTATCACAGAGAAAAAAAACTTAATTCACATACTATATATGACAATAAAAGCATCAGCTGTCAATCCAGACTAACTTCTTAGTCCACTCTGCACTATGAGAATTCAACTTCTACTAGCAATAATTTTGGCCAGTGGCAAATTTTGAGGGACACAATGAAAAGGTACTTGAAAACTAAGCACAGTGAAATTTGGCTTGAAAAGCAATTGCTATATTTAGGACCTTCAACCAAAAGCACTGTCTAGTTATCCCATGCTTAGGATAGAAGCTGTGCATTTAGAGGCTTTTCTTGAGTGTGACAGATAGCAACCAGTTTTTCCTTTTTGTTTCATTCTGTGTCCAGCCATGGAAGTATTTTCAGTTGGAAGTTACAAGGAATTGGGCGGGGGGAAGTTGCTTTTAAGTAACTAGTAACTTGAAACAGTATTATTTAGAAGATGGACAGCCTTCTTCCATGGCCATGGCCATTGAGGAGCCACTCAGGACCAAGATGATGACCCCACAGACCTCTCTTTCCCAGCAGTGCCTAGGTCATACCAAAGACTCTTTCTGGTCTCTTCATGGTCTACAGACACAGTCTGTCAAGACTGCAAAAATCTTGCATCTGACTACAACACACAAATTCTTATTTGGGTACATTCTGCCTTTTTTCATGGAAACTGTAAAACGGAATCAGACCAGTACAAGAAGTACTGGCTGGGGATCCGAGAGGATTTCAGGCCTGCCATGCAGCCAAGTGATATAATCATACATCCTTGCACTGCAGAAATGCCACACAGCCAGGAGGGAGTGGTGTGCTCAGCTGTCAATCCCGACACAGGTGCAGCTGACACTTCACAGAAGGTCACAGTCACATGAAAAATATTTTTACCCATGTGAGTATCTGCAGGCTTCCCTGGATTACTTGGGTCTTCAATTAGATGAATCAAGCCCATGAAGGTTCTCAGGTGCTCATGTATTTGTGGCACCAGACCACTAAGGTGGAGGAGATGGAGTGCAGGGTGGTTTTTGTTTGTTTATTTCTACACAGCTCAGTGGAGCATCCTTATCCCTTTCCTTTGTGACACTCTGGTACCCTTGATTGTTCCACAAGCAGGGTGGTTTGAGTAACAATTGTTGAAATACGAAATATCTTCTGCAATAGTGGGTGTAATCTAATCAGTGAAACTGATGCTAAACCCTGGAAGTTGAAGGTAGTGGATTTGCAGAGAAAGTGGAGATAACTATTCAATGAAGATTTCTAAACAACACGCAACAAGGACTATGAGAGCATGTTGGACAGGCCAGAAATAGGAATTCTTCTTTTTTCCAAGAACACTGGGTTTTCTACCCAGAACTTACCTTGCACATTGTTGTACAAAACCCGTTATGGGGAAAAACACCCACTTCAAATTTAAAAACAGGCTTCTAGTATATTCCTATTTATACTGTTAGTGTGATGTAAAAACATATTAAATAAGCCTCAGACCTTAATTGTCAGTCTGAAAATCTGCAGGGAAATTCAGTCACCCATTTGCCACATGAGTATGTAGATGAGGGCTGAGGTGCTCTTCCTTTCAGTAAAAAAAGCAGTATGTTCTTTTTTTCAGTTTTTAAAATTAATATGGTATCAGTTAAGGAATCGCCTCAACCTTACACCTTGTTTTCTCTTTATATCTGTTTCTCTTGCTTCAACCCACAGTGTAATATGAAATTAAGTCACAGATTTTAAAGTCTCCATACATACTTATTTAACTGATAAACAAGAGCCATACCGTTCTCCCACCTGGAAGTAGCAAAGCACCAGTTCTGTGCTCACCGGTGAGAAGTTTCCCAAAACTCAGGCATTTCAGATTTCTGAAACACTGGGCAGTTGAAAACAACTGTAACATCAAGTATTTTTTGGGAGAACTTAGGTTCCCAATTTCAGTTCAACTGTTTTTAGAAGTGTCATAGTTATTTAGTATTTTAATGTAGTTGATCTTACTCCCTCTACCATATGTTGTTAATTTCCATAAACATGAGAAATAATGACATTTGA